AATCAACAGTTTCAGATGGAGAGATGCAAATATAATGAAACAGGGTTGAAATTGTGAAATTAAAAAAAAAAACAGTCACAAAAAACTTTGCTGTTCTAAACACATTCAGACCATTTTTAACTGACTTTTTGTCTCTTCCACCATATTATCCTTCTCTGGCCAATTATTCAAATTTGGCAATGGCTTCATTTAGCGACTTCTAGTGACTTTTAGGACAGCCAATAGTATACTTTCCTTAATGAGGACTTGGGAACTCTGCAGCATTGGCAGCATTAAATAGCCATCAAAGAAAATTGTGATAATTAATTCTCCAGATCAAACTTGAGCTCATAAGATGAAGATTAGTAATAACGAATTCCCTAAAAAGCTATTCTCACTCAAATAATTTACTGTTAGTTGCTGTTAAGTAATGGGCCCCATGTTCTAAAGTTTATCTTCAGGCTGCTGCCAACACTTTTCTCCTCCTTTCTCCTACCCTGCACTCTGAAACTCTCTGTAGTAACGTCCTCTTTTGTTCGTCTAGGCAAAGTGAGCGGTTCATTACTCAGGCCAGTTCAGCCAGAGATGAAAACACTGAGCTGTGCATTGGTTCTCTCTCAAAAAGTGCATTTGTGTGAGTTATGCATGCATGTGTGTGTGTGGTTTAGCATGAGAAATGCAAAGTGTGGTGTGTGTGTATTTCGTGAAATGCATGTGTCTCACGGTCAATGCGTACTTGATATCCAAAAGTCGTGAACGGTTGTGGTTATAGTTTCCACCTGGCGTTTGAAAACAAAATTTGCCCCGAGAGTCGACAGGCGTTCTCTCCAGCAGGAAGTGGCCGGCCAGCTGATAGCTGCCCACAGTGTAGCGACAACGGACATGTCCGAAACCATTGGAGTTAAGCAAAATATTGATAAAACAAGTAGATGTTTAAGTTCTGCAGCACCACATTCCCGCCTAAAAACTATCTAAAAGTTAATTTTGAGTCAATGAAATATCAAAACTGATATCAAAATTTACACACACCTTTTTTTGCTTTCCATTTCTGTGAGAACAACGGCTTCAACCTGCAATGAATCATAGGATTGGATGGGTGAAGAATAATGATGTTTTGAGCAATAAGCATTTCTGTTTGCCCAGACACCAGTTTTTCAGATGGCGACCCCACTTGAAGTATGGGGTCTATCGCAGCACCATTTGGTAATTCAGTGTAGAAGGGTCATATCTATATTTCTACCAAATTTCATGCTTCTAGATGCATGCATCTGTTTTGAGAAGGCGGTCTCTGCAGTCACTAAGTAGGAGTTTCTTACTTTGAGGGAGGAGATGGCCCAAGATGTGATTGGTCAGATTGATGTTGGGGATTGAAGAAGCTGCGGGGCAGTGGGGCGTAGCTTGATCGAATGGGGCAGGGAATACCTACAGTATGTTTTTTTAAATACAGAGATACATTTTAATCATAACTTGAGACAGGAAGGTGCTATTTTCCAATTTGAAGTCACTAAATTACATGTTCGCAATAATTTTATTTGAGTCATTGTTCTGTTTTTAACTGTACACAGACAGTCAATAAATCATATTATTTTTACTATTATCATTACTTCCTCTTTTAAGTTGCCCCACAAGACAAGTCAATCCGACCAATCACAGTTAGGGAACACTCCACCCACACATCAACTCTGCCAATCACTATCAGGGCCAACTCCGCCCACACCAAGACCTCTATCAATCATGGGTAGGGTCAACAGGACAACATGTACTGCAGAGACCCTTATTTGGCTGTTTATGTGCTACGGTTGACCTCTGGAAAAAAATATATAAAAATATATTTTATTTGTAATGACTATTCCAAAGTCCTTTCTTATGGAAATACCAGACCATCTTAAACAGCCGCAACCCGCATGTGAGTTGGGTGCTTTCCTTTGTATGGGGGTTATTTATGGTACGCCATGTGGTATTTGGTTTTTTTTGTTTACATGTTTGATTTATTTTTAATTCACAATTCATTTGATAAAATTCAAAAGTCAAATTGGTCTGTATAACTGTTTAAAGACTGAAAGTATGGATTCACCTTCCAGTTTTGTTGAGATCTGTCTCAAAATGGTTAATAAATAACCAGTTTAATACTTAAGTATTATACTCATAACAAATACAGTTTGTACATCCATCATGGTAACCCCTTTTGGATCATCCTGTTTCAAGAATTTTTTTAACATATCCACTGAATGATGCTGTAGGCAGAAGAGTAAAATGAGCACTCCATGTGGGGGGATAGTATGACAGATCCAGTGGCTGAGCTGAGTTTGGAATAAAACATGAAATCGTGGCAGAAAATGAGCAAGCTGGCTCTGGGTTGGAGGTGAAGGGAGTTGGTGGAGAGGGTAAGTGGATCAGTGGTACTGATGGATACAGTAGGCAGGCAGATGGCTGGGTTGAGTTGAGCATGCCGGCTGGCATGTAGCTGAATCTGATTCACATGAAGAAACTCTGTCAGAGAGTAGCAACAACAAGCATCCAGGCACAGACTTAGAAATAACAAAATAACAGCCTAGGAACATTTGTTACCATAGTGGGTGATGGAACCATCTGGTGTGGAGTGGAAAAAGAAACAGAGTTTGATGTAATGATGGAGCTGATGATTTAAGGAAAGCATATTACTCATGAGTGAGAAAGAGAAGCCGTGGACAAACACAAACCCAGACAGAGGTCCTTGGTGGCCTAATCATCGGCAGCCATGTTCATTCTGTTACGATAACAGGCCATCAGAACCCTGGAATGCAGACACACAGGAAGCAACAAATGCTCTGTGCTGATGAGGAAGTGGAAGCAGCTGAGCTGAAGGCTAATCAGGGACAGGTGAGRCTGAGTGGGGCAGACTGAGTGACGGAGCTGAACTAAAGGAGAGTGAATGATGACATGTAAACACAGGAACTAAACACAGGAATAAACAAATATAAAAAACAACATGAAATATGACTAAAACAAGATACAGCTCAATGCCAGCCATTTCTGATGTCCCCTGTTGCCAACTGTTAGTAGCTTTGTTGGGATCATCACAGGCCTTCATTATTTAAATCATCTCATAAGGTGAAGAGACTGTCATGATTTGTCATTTTCCACCTTGGTTTTCCTTGTGTTTCTATGTTCCCCAGTGTGTCTCAGTCCAGCTGCCCCTCATTTGTTTGATTAGTCACCCTCGTGTTTCTCACCAGGTGTTCTCAGTTTGTCCATTAGCTGTCAATGTATTTAAGTTCTGTCTTGTCTCAGTCTGTTGTCAGATCCTTATTTGCTGTTTTGTGCTCATGTCATGTCATGCCTAGTCAAGTTTTTGTATTACCAAGTCAAGTTTTTGTATTTAGTTTGCTGTCACATCAGCTTCTTGTTTTCATTTATTAAACATTTTTGCTAGCCTCACTCAGTCCTGCATCTGGGGTTCATACCAACCTTGCCAACACATTACAGACCCCAAATGAATGATTTAAATGTGCAAAAGAAGGATTTAAAAC